TATATATACTATAAGTGAGATTTTTTTCTATTCTCTATAGCTGTTCCAACCAACCTCATATATGGTGAAACGAATTCTCAGGGATTCTTTCTCGTTAAGTCTACAAAGTATTTAGCTGTGTTATACGTTATACAATGAGATATCGCAATTGTTGTATTCATATGTGTCCTTAGAAAAAATTGATGGAACAAAACGGCTAAGAATAAAAGATCTTTCTTCTTTTTTTTTTCTTTTTACGGATACAGTAACTATACTCTTTATTGACCTTTTCAACTTCTTTTTTATTATACTTTAACTCTGGCAATTATGCAGCTAGTTGTAAAACTGTTTTCTCTGTAGAAATATTTCTGTGAGACATATATATATATATATATATATATATATATATACCAAGCATTGCTTATCGATCTGATTATATTGTCTCGTTTTCCAAGACTTTCAGGTTGCAAGAATGATAAAAACATAGCCCTGCATTTTTTAGCATCGATACATCTCTAAATCAACGAGGCAACAGTATTATATTAATATTATATTATATTAATAACGCTATTTTGTTGATCTTCATAGTTTTGCAAGACGCAATGTAGCAATCACACTACAAGATTAATCGCGAAACCAATATTGACCTGTTTGTCGTCAAATTTTATGAACCACCCTCGCAGTATTATTTATACATCAATTTATACGCAACTCGTCTCTATCCTCAGCAGAATACGCGATCGTAAAATTCTGCACGGTCCTCGTAAATTAGTTAAACGAGGAGCTCCGATGGAACTCTCGTACGAGAGTCTAAACCGCGCCTGCAAGAATGTAAAAAACTCAAAAAGAGGAACGAAAGTGAATTATTTATTCGAAGTATTCTTCGATCGTTTCTATTTTCCATTTTTAATATATCTCTGAAATTTTAATAATTTGAAAATTCAATAAAAGTTGTATTAAATAGACTTTTTTTTTATTAGACGCTTTCTTGTTAGAGTTTTTGCTGTTTCTCATTGTCAATACAAATCGTCAATTTGTTCAACAAATATTTACACCTATGCATCACTCACTATGCATATCTATAGACAGTTTCATTAATCTGACATCTGATACGTGCGCAATTTACAATAACAATGCAATAGCTGCGAATAACAGAAGGAAGAGATATTCGTCCGCATATTTTTCAATGTTATCGACAAATCGAAGATTCTTTGTTTTTTTTTTTGTTACAGAGAGAATAATAATAATACCTGCGCTTTTCGCATGGGCGTAAAAACAAAACGCGCGAACAAATAAATTCTCGCATCGTTTTTAAATAATATATTTTCTTCGATTTTTCATAGGATATTTGTCCTGTTAAATAATGGGAAATAAATAGGAAACGTAACACGTGCAACACACAGTGAATTACAATCAAAATATCTAAATAAAACTTATAAACGAAAATTCTTTCTAATATGCGATTGTCAATTTTTTTTTCATTCTCCAACGGTTGGATCTTTGTGTTTCAGTAAGCAAGCTGTGTTCGACGGAAAGAAAGCGATTAGGGGCGGCATACCGTTCGTCTTTCGTAAGTATAATAGATGAAGCGATACATCATGTTTACGACTGTATACGAAAGAAAAGAAAATAATTTGACCAAAGTTTAAAGAGCGAAGACAATCTTATACGCGAATTTGAACTGCTGATAAAAAGAGCTAACTAGAATACCATGAAAATTTGACTGAAAGTCTAATTTAAAAAACATATAAAAACAGCGATATATTTACATTCCTATTTCGTAGTGTAGCGAAAATAAGATTTCTGTGCTATCAGTATGTAAAAAAAAAGTTTCTTAGAGTAGATTTCCGTATCTACAATTTCAGTATTAAAGTTTTTTTAAGTTACTGAGTTCAAATATAATATCAAAATTTCAAAATTCAAAAAACGCATCAAAATTAATAAAACAATTTTTTTTAATTAAAGAAAAATTTTTTTTTTAAATTTAATAAAAAATAAGAACATAAGTTAAAACTCGCTATGATCTCATTTCTTTTTTTCATGATTTTAGATTTAGCGCGCGGAAAGCAGGATTTATAAACAATTATTCTATTAATATAATTAATATATTTTTTATGAATTATTATTTTTAAGTATAGCAAAGTTTGATCTGTCATTTAGAAAAATAAAAATTCTAATATTTTGCAACTTTAATTTTGTGTGTAGTACTCACTTTTATAACAATTCATTTATTTTTCAAATTCTGATCCACTATACTGGAACCATCTTGAATTTACAAATTTAGGTGTCATATTTGGATTCAGCGACCTCGAAAACTTTAGCATAATCATTTTTATAAAAATTTAATTATTTTTCTAAATTTGTTATATTGGATTGTCATATTGGATACGCCATTTTAAATTTTGATATATATTCTGATGTATATTCGGATTTAGCGAAAATCATAGAAAAACTACGATTCAGAAAAATCGCAAAGGGATAAGTCGGTTTTTTAAAGATGCATATATATGGTATATTACACATTGGTGACACGTGTTTTTTGTGCACGTATACTATACAGTGAAAGGGTTAAGTGAAACAAAATTCTGGTATTTTGATTTAGCGATTTCAACAAGTAAGTACAAGTAACTTTGAAGTACTCATTTTTATAACAATTCATTTACTTTTCAAATTTTTATCCGTTATATTGGATCCGCCATTTTGAATTTTGAAATTCTGATATTATATTCGGATTCAGCGACTTCAGAAACCATAGGAAATCAAGATTCAGACAAATCGCAAGAGGGTAAGTGGGTTTTTTTGGATGTGCATACGAGGATAATTCGAAAAGTTCTCGGCCTGATAGAAATAACGCCAAATATAAAATGGTTAAAATTTTAGACAAGTTTGATTCTTCACAGGGCTAAATTTCAGACAGATGCATTCATTAGTTTCATTATTTCGCTCATGTAAAGCAGAACACGTGAAACCTGATGAAATACGGTACTTGCGGGACCAATTTATGGAATTTTGCGACTGCAATTGAAGAAATGTGAGCGGTTGCATTGCCATGATGAAACCAGAAGTTGCTTTACACGACCGAAACAAAGAAATTAATGAACGCATCTGTTTGAAATTTTGAATTTGACCTGTAAAAGAAACTCATCTAAAATTTTAACAGTTTAATATTTATGGCGTCATTTTCTATGTCAGGTCGAGAATTTTTCGAACTTATCCTTTATACATTACACACTGGTGACACGTCTTTTTTGTGTGCACGTATATATTTCATACACAATGAAGGGGTTAATCCGATACGATGCACGTTATCTTCGCAGCACAATTTGGAACATGGACGTACGGACCACCCCACGGCTTCGCCAGGATCATTCGTTGGAACGTGGAAAAGACACCAGAACGATTGCCCAGCGGGGACATCGAGGCGATATTCTCGATAATGGACAATGAATTCACGCGATCGCTGTGGAATTCACAATTCAGGCTAACATACAGGCTAATATTGCGCGAGAAGGAGCTGCATTTTAATATTGGCGTATATAATCCGAGCAGAGAAGATCCTTTCTCCTTTAATCTGCTCCTACATACTTATTTCAAGGTACCCGATGTCAGGAGATGCCAAATTACGGGACTGCACGGATGCACGTTCCTCGACAAGGTAACGTAAGCCTCTTCTGTTAAGTTATATGGTATATAATTCGTTAATTAAAATATAAATTGATCGGAAGATTTCGTTAGAAATTTTACTGTAAGACTCACTCTTAAGACTCACGGAAAAGAATCGTTTATTTTCAATTAATCTTAACTAGCTGGTTATTAATGACTCAACGTTACCAGTGGAAAGTCGATTTTAAAACTTGCGCAAAAAGATCTGTTATTACACATATAAAGACTAGTCATTAAAGAATCGGCTGCACAATGCCCCGTTAAGTCCGGAGCACGATCGAAGCGATTACATATCGCGGCCGCACGCAATCCTGTCTGCCTGTCTCACAAGTTGTATTTCATTCACGCGCACAGACTAGGGACAACCAAATTTACCAAGAAGGCCGCGACGTCGTCACGGTGTGCGAATGGACCGACCGAATCTATCAGAATACGCAGCCGGAGCATATCATCACGAATGTCGTTTCCGGTAGGAAAATGCGCGTGCAAAAGTACAACTTTCCCGACACGGTCGTTTGGAATCCTTGGCAAGAAAAGGCGCGTGATATCCCGGACTTCGGCGACGATGAATTTCCTAACATGATATGCGTCGAGAGCGGACATGTCAGTAGTCCGGTTGTACTATTGCCAGGAACGGCCTTTGAGGCAAGCCAGATATTACAGGTACGTATAATTCTATTCTAAACGCGAAATTGTGTCTGCCGAAATCGGCGCAGAGTTAACGGTGATCAAATATTATAGATGTGTCATCGTAATATCATCGTGGTAATCAAGTTTATAAATCAATAAGTCTATATTTGTATACATACAGAACGAAAATTTGAATAATTATCGATACCAATATCGCGATTGAATCTCAATTTTCGCGAAGATATCAAACGTGCGAAAGTCGTATGATCTTACATCTTGATAGTTTGACGTTTTATAACATTCTTGCATTTATATAATAATTTAATTTATCAGAACGATCGTATCACGCGCGCATAATTAATTGCGTGACAAAAGCATACTCAAGTCGTCATATTCTTATCTGAAATCTTACTGTTATTCGTAATTACCATCATTCGTGAAACTACTCATTACATATAGGCTATACGAAGTAGCTGCGGATAGAGAATAATTGACAATCAGGCTAATTGTTTTTTGCACTTTATTCCAATGGACTGCTATTTGCAAACTAAATATTTCTCTAGCTTTTTACAATTATAATTTCAATTGGCAAGATAAATACTAAAAACCTTGTACAGAATGAGCAAAATATGTTTTTTTCTATGAAATTATTTATTATTAAAGTAGCTATCAAAATACGTTGTTACATCACTGTTATTGTTATATATCAATTAAACATTAAATGTTTTATAATGTATAATTTTGTAACTTTAAAATTTATGTCATTTCAGGTTTCTTGTGAAAGGTTTTATATGATGATGACGTAACACTATATATTCTGCATAAGATAGAAATAGCGAGTTGCAAATGTTACAATATTTATTCATTACTATGATAAAAATCTTTGCAAATTATAATTTTCCTCATGTTTGCATACATACAGGTCCGCACTCTATATTGAAATGAAAAGCTACAGCTTTTAAATACGTCCAGAAGTTAAAACTGTTGAAAACTGAAGAGTCTATAGAATAATCGAATGCTGTTAAATCTTACAACCAATGGAACGATGAAAATGTATCAATGAATTATGTTTTTCATCGATTTCTTCTTAGGTGATGTGAGTAGAGAGTGGACCGACGTCACACGTCAATGCTGGAGGCGGTACCAATTCACTGCTTCCGACGTCCTCAGCATCGTCCGCGGTTTGGCCAACGAGCACGGGGTGGCTTTACATGCCACCACCTCCGCCACCCCCGCCACCTCCGCCGCCACCTCCGCCGCCCCCGCCATTGCATCCATCGCAATCGTCACATCTGCACTCGCATTGCGTTGCCCAGACTTGCACGATATGTTCTCTGAATCTTTAGGAATCTTTAGATATGAGATGAAGTCTGCAAACTCTATGCGAGCTCCCGAAATCTCTTCGTTTTCCAGTCCCCTCGGACCAATCATTTCCTCGAAAGACTCGATATCTCCAACACTGCATAATGCAGATTGTATCTTTTTTTTTCATCGTCCTTCGAGGAAGCGATCTGTAGTAAAGACAAGTAACTTAATTTTGTCGAAGAATCTGTTTTCCTTCTTTTGCTTATTTTTATCTTTATGCTTCGTCCGTATTTTACGAGGAATCACAAAAAATTAAATCCAAAACAGCCAATCGCGAACGTGAGGGATAGATCAATTATTTATCTCTCTTTGTTTTCCCGCCGTCCAAATAACAATCCAACATAGGATCTATAAATAAGTCAATTACATTGTCCGAAAATAAAATTGTTATCTTGTTTGCACAATATTTATTTTCTTTCATTAAAAATATTTAAAAAATTGCAGGGAGGTATTCGCATAAGTATTACGCGGAAGAGAATAGGATCCTTTTATTAGACTTTTAAAGAACATTGTCTTAAAAAAAAAAACTTGCAAAACGAATTAAGGTTCACTCGATTCGTCACAATAGATATGCATACATTCCATGTATAAATGGAAAGTGAAAGAAATATATGTCCCAGTTTCGTATTCTCACCACGTTTAGGTATTAGCGTACAATATATTGTTTATAGATATAGAATTATTGGAATTAGATATGTAAGCGATTTTGTTAAATTTACGCGGTAAAACTTTCCCAAATATTATGATGTAATTACTCATTCGTTTCGATAAACAATTCGATCTAGTTTGCTTGCTGCAAAATGTACATTTGGAATTAGTAAATAGCACAAAATGCGCTTGAGATGTACTTTGCGTTATATAAAAATGTTCTCGCGGAAGACTTCATACATATATATATACTCACACACACTTTTTAAAAATGTTTAAAGGCACTATACTTAATTATATTTTCGAGGGAAAAAATCTCTGGCTTAAATGCATTTTTATTTGCTGAAACTTATTATGTGTACAAACTGTTAGAAAAATATCTGTTTAATATTCAATTCTTTCAATTTTTTCAGTTTTGTTCTAAATTATGTGACTTATACAAATTTTAATAGATTTTCGAGATCTCCATATATATAATTAAGAAATTAATGAGATTTGAATCTTTGTTATTATGTATTAAACAGAAAATAATTTTAAAGTACAAAACGTTTCCTATTATTTAATTAGATAATTAATTATATAATGCGCGGTAAAGAGATGCTATGGACATTGTGATTAGACTATCAACTTTATTTAAAATAGGTTCTTACTTGCAATTTTTAATATTTTAACATAAGAGAATCAATGTGATATAATTTTTTTCCAAACATAATAGATAAATAACATGCTATTTATGCATGAATTAACTTCTAAAATCTAATTTACCTATGAACAATACAAATATGGTGCTATTGTTACAAATATAGTGTTGTAATGATAAGTCGCAATACACACATACATACACATTAACTAAATAAGCTCAATCGATATTTTTTCCATAATGTTGCAATTTTAAATGTAATTTTCCTTCAAAATTTTCGAAATTATTGTTCCAAAATTATCACATTATCGATTACATTTGTTCATGCAAGAAGAAAATTGCATCATCGAAAATAGATATATAAGATAATATTTACTGTAATATTATATTACTATAAAAATTGCATGTGTATACGGAGAATTTTGTAAAGACATTGACCATTTAACGGAAAGATGGAGAAATAGAAGCAACATTTTGCCGCCCATTTAGATAATTGTATTATTATTAAGATATTATGGAACTTGAGACACTATTATAAGGTTCAGAGTCGAAACTCAATTTAAATAGTAACGAGTTTAATACGTTAATTAAATTTTATATCAAAGATAATTAAATTTCTTAATAAAAGCATCAAGCATTTTTTTAACTCAATTGTGAAAGATTAACAGAGATAAATTAATACACAGAACCATATATATATTTTAATATCAATTTTTACTTACAAGAAAGAACAGCTTCTTATTACCTTAAATTAAGTCATTAATGAAAACAAAACTGGAAATACAAATTAACTACACTGTAAAATTAATTGTGAGTGAAAAGAAATCGGCAAAAGATCGCACATGTCTCTATTTTATATAAATATATAATCTATACCAACTCGCGTGCGCGCGTGTGTTACTCAATAGCCGAATACATCTGGAAGGGCAATTTTTTTACGTTATATGGATTCTCAACGTCACGTAACGTAATATTAAAGTATCACATGTAAATTCTTCAAATGAACTATCTCATATTAGTAGTATACTATTATAATTAAGTGAATGCTCAATATAGTGCGCTGTTTCCTCGCATATTACTAAACTTGAAGGCAAACAAAGAAAAAAAAGAAACGAGTGGAACGTTCCTGCTTATAGATGTGTTATAGAATGCGAAAAAGTACAGCCTATTAAATCTGAAATACGATAACCACTCGAAAATAAAAGAATTGGATTTCGACATTTTCCCAGATTACAGAGATCCAGCTACTACTTTAACGAAGGTTTTGGTCTTTAGAGGCTAGACAATACGTTCGTCACTTAGTATAGTGTTTTTACATTCTTTTTTTCCTCTCTCTCCATTATATTAGCAATTAAGGTTCGGTCTTCCACCGTTATAACATTTATCGAATCACGTTGTACACCATTCAACTCAATGTTAATATCCACGAATATTTGTGATTAAAGCGAAATTATGAAAACGCGATTAAAATTAGTACGTTAAGAAAAATGTACTCTTTTTGGGAAAGTGCAATAAAAATGTGGGAAATAAGATTGTACAAATTCCATTTTCTCTCTCTTTAATAATTTAGTTTTAATTATATAAAATTATTAAACTATCACTAAATGACTACTGATTTATCATATAATAATATAGCGATATCATTACAGGTCGCACTATATATATCGGATAGGATGAAAGATTTAAAAATTATACGAGTATTAAAATTTGAACAGTTTATTACAAGCGAGAGGGAACGATAGTAACACATGTGTGTTTAATGATCGTTCGCTTGTTTACATTTAATTACATAACATATTAAATAAGTGAAAGTCTGAATTTTTACATATTGGAAATTAGTACTACAAATATATAGTATTATTTAATATCCTTATACCTAGAGAAACCAGTCAAACATGTATTTTCTTTGACTGAATTTAGGTGTAGGTAACGTCAAGTTTGTACACACTGATTATAACTGTTATCGTGAGCAACGTGTAAATAACAAGATAATCGAGGCTAGGTCCTGAGGTATGTCATACGGTTGACATACCTGCGTACGGCCGACAATGGAAAAATTCTCTAACATCAAAGACATAGTGATTCATTTTTCTGTCTCCGGTAATCATCGACGTATGTGTATCTTACAGTCGTGAATCTTTTTAACGTAGCCATTGGTTGCGTGATATAGCCGTTCTTATCATAAAAATTTATACACTTTTCTCGTTGAATTATCTCGCTGCCTGCTTGGATTTGTCTGCTGGTTCACCCTGCTGTTTCTTAAGTTGTTTCTCTCTCATTCGTTCTGCGTCGCTGTAAAAAGAAATATACGTCCAGTATAAAAATTATATCAATTTATTACAATAATATAAATTTTAGCAATAAACATCCAGTTTGTAACCCATTATTATTTCTAAGTAAGCCTATCAATTTTCACGAATAGAAAGAGGAAGAGATATATCATACTCAGAAGACGTACCGTGCTTTACGTTGTTCTAAGGAAAGACCTTTATTGCTATCTTGTTCCGACGCTGCCTTCTTTACAGTTTTTTTCAAATTCTTGGCTCGTGCTAGTTCACGTTGATTTCCACCTGCAACATAATCAAAGTTTTTTTTTTAGGAATCGAATGAAATTTTAATTATAACTTTTATTTAATTTTACTCCGCAATTTTTCGGTCTCTATTTTCATTCCCATTTATTCAACTCGAACGAAGTGCTCTTAAAAAGAGCGCTGTTTATTGCGTGCGCACGCAAGTCAAAATCGTATTCCTTCCGACCGATAATATAAATACAACAACGCACGCAACGCTCACGTTCGTAATTATTAAAAGGGTGACTGTAAAAGGCGATGATTTACGACAATGTCATACAATTGCTCCTTAACGATAACTTTATAATCTAAATCCTACTCCTAATTTGAACGGTATCACGTATATACAGGGCCGCCGCTGGTACATAAGGCGCCTTTGTGTAAAGAAGATTTGTTGCGCTTCTTAATTTTTATTTATCAATTTTTTAAATAAGATGGTAAGTATTGAATCGTTTTTTTTTTATATCTTAAGAAAACGTGCAATTGAATCATGTTATTTTTATTCTAGAACGGAAAAAATGAACGTTTCTATCATTGATATTAACAGAGAAATTTTTCACTTTTCATATTTCCTAGAAAATTAGCTCTAGAAAAATTAATATTCTTGATGATCCTAAATGGTTTGCAAGTATGTATATAACATATACCGAAAAATTTCAATAATCTCATATAATAATCTCATAAATACATAATTACATAATTACAAAAATATATAATAATAACAAAAATACGACAAATACATAATTATCTGTTCAGATCAATGATTTCGATTTTATAATTAGATTTTGGTTTCTCTAAATTAATATACATGTTTCGGAAGAAATTAAATCTAACAGAAAAGCATGCACACGTAATTGATGTTAGGAGTGGGGAATTGATTTTTAACCCTTCTCTTGCAATTTGAATCTTTTTTGGTTCAAGTAAAATTTCACACTTCTTCTCCAAAATAAAAGAGGGCGGGATTCGATTTTTCTTCTATCTAAAATATCTTGAAAAATAACTGAAATTCTCGTACATTTTTAAAAATTTAGAACAGTAAAAATGGACTGCATAAAAAGAATCATCAGATTGCAGAGAATTAAAATTTAATTTGCTCTCCTTGTTAATATGCCTTTACGCTTTATAAGTGCCTTTATAAAATATTTGAGGATTGATTCTGTCTTGAAACAAAGTTTAGAAGAAAATAACAACAGTAAACAAATTTACTACGTTGACCAATAAAATTATAAATATTTTAGTAAATTCGCTCATTTTTGTAATTTTCATATTTCACTAAAATAAAATCAATTAAAATAAATTGAAAAAGATTTATTTCAATGTTCACGAATGCGTATTTCTAAAAATCTAAATCCATTTCAATGCCCAATGTCTCTTTATTCATTTATAGGAATTGCATAAAGTCCTTTCTGTGTGCTTCTTTGATTCAAAATTTTGAATAGAAGATGCAGTTCTTCAATTCAATCGAATCCAATTAAATCCAGAAAAGTTTTTCCATTTAAAATATGCATTCGAATGGATTAAAAATTTTAATCCGTTTTCGAGATACAGAATCGACCTCCGCTTGCGACGGCCCTGCGCATATACAAAATGGCGGCGAGTAAAATGTGACGCCATAAAGCGTATTTTTCCACCATATTTACTCTCTCTCGAAGTCAGACGCTGTCAAAATAGACGAAATCCATCGTAGAAAGGAAAAAAAATTTGTCGACTTGGTGCGCTCGCAACGTGAAAGCGCGCCGCCATAACGTTTCTGTATGTTGTCGAGGTTAACAAGCGAGATTTACCGAAAGCGAGATGCGTAAATTCGTCGCGTAACTCCGAAAAGTAAGGCTACACGTTGACCTACGTTCGATTTTCTCAATTACGCGAAATCGTCGAGATTCGCGAAACACATTCGTAGAGACCCTCATTTTTCTCTTTCTTTTATTTAATCGGCGCTATCGTCATCATCAAAAATATTGACCTTTCCTTCGTAAACAGCCTGTAGAACGAGAATTCTCGAGGATACTCGGAGCGCATCACGTCTGTCACGGCGGTGTGCTCCTTTCTTCCTCGACGAGTCACCGACGCGACGTTTCGCGACTCGTCGGGACGTTTCACGTTTGTTCACGCGTGTGACAACTGACAAATCTCTGCGAGAGCCGAGAACCGAGAGCGCACGCGGTCACCCACAATCATTACTGATCGTTACGCAGCGACCTTATTTTTAACATTAATAATGGCAGCCCCGCGAAAGAGGTAAAAACGAGCCAAAAACTCGCGCCCGTCATCGTCCCCTCTTTCTTTCTCTCTTGTCGAGTTGTTGCGGCGCGATCGGGTAATGCGACACCCGATCTCGGTGACGTTTCGGCTGGACTTACGGGTCATTTTTTTTTTCTCAGTTCTTGATCTCCGATAAGCAAGCACTTTGAAATTTGACCACCCGAATCGGTGCGAAACGCACGGCCCGACGATACGCGCTCAAACGCACACACATACACGCGCGCACAGCCGTACACGGCTCCTGCGGACTAATTTCCAAACCAAAATAAATATAGTTCTGCGTCGTCTCCGTAGCCCCTTTTCCCCGTCGGCCACCCTGCCGTTGCCGCAATGACTGTCAGTGATGCCATGTGTTCCAGTCTAGTAACATTCGACGTGTCCTATTCGAATGGAGCAGAGGTATACCAATATTGCCAATTGCCAAGGTTGAATCCACAGACTTTTTACAAGAGAGAGTCTGTCTGTGATTGAATCACTTTGAGAATTTCTTTGAGTTTGATTTATATTCGCGAAAAATATGAAATATGCTTTACGTGGATTAAAATTTGACGAGAAAATTTAAAAAATAAATTCTTAATTCTGTTCCCTTCACCATTATTTAATTTTATTGTACACTTGTGATTTCTTATATATATGTATGTATAATTCGATAAAAAAAATATATTTCGCATACATAAAAACAGGGATGGAAAGTTACTTTTACTTTTTAAAACAACGATTTGATAAGAACGGTGCAATTTTTTATGGTGATAAAGATTAACTAGGTAAAAAGGCAAAGAAGTGGTAAAAGTAACTTCCCATTCTTGCATAAAAAAAAATATATATATATTTTTTTTTCTTAACATTTATATTTCAAAGTTCATTTTAAAGAATGAAGTTAGATATTTTTAAAAATATTTTAGAAAAATGGAAGCATTTATACATAGAAAAACGAAATTCTAATTTAGATTTACAATTCTTCTTCTAATCGATTTTAATTTTATTTAATTTTACTAATGATTTTTTTTTTAATATTTATTCGTTTAACAATGGGATTAAATTTAGAATATACACTCCAAAAACATGCTTCTAATAATTTATAAAAGAAAACACTGCTCGTATTTTCAATACAAAATAATAAATGCTCAGGAGCTGCATGCCATACAGTCCTCCTTATTCTTACGCGAACAAGCAAGCATCGCGTCCAAGTTTTTACGTGCTTGTGTGCTTAATTGTTTTCGTTTTTCGGCATCGTCATCACTGTCTTGGTTGGGTGACTGAATAGGAGTACTGTTGACAGAAATGCTTGCATCGGAAACATTCGATACGGAATCGCGATTTTGTAATTTTGACTTGTCCACTGTAAATTGTATAGGATTTGCGGCTGGTTTCGTTCTCAGATAGTACATGCCAGTCTTTAGGCCCTGTAAGCGATAATTTATTTTTATACAGAATTTATTCATTAAGTTATTTACTCTGTATGATGAAAACAATTTATAAGATGTTAAAATAATTTATAAGAATTAGATAGATTAGATAGAATTCATCTACCTGAGCAACGTATAAAATTTAAAAAATTTCAAAACAGATAAATTAATTGGTAACATCACTTACACTTTTCCAGCCGAAAAAATGCATTGATGTCAGCTTCTCCGTTGTCGGATCTCCTATATGAACGTTTAGAGATTGCGACTGATCAACAAAAGCTCCTCGATCAGCCGCCATTTCGAGAATTACTTTTTGCGGTATCTCCCAGACCGTCTTGTAAAGCTCTTTCAAATCATCGGGAATGCGTTCGATGTTCTATAAAATGCATATACGCTTCCTTAGAATTATGCACATATATGCTTCAAATAATTTGAATAACAAGAATATGTAAGAGATATTTAAAGATGTTTACTTGAACAGATCCAAAATTCGCGAGTATCTCGTTCTTCATATCTTCGTCCCATAGACCTCTACTGGTTAAATCTCGCAGTAAATGTGGATTGACAATGATAAATTCTCCAGACAATACGCGCCTCACATATATATTGCTTGTATACGGTTCAATGGATTCGTTGTTTCCTAAAATCTGTGCCGTCGAGGCCGTTGGCATAGGTGCTATTAAAAGAGAATTTCTTACTCCGTGTTTCGCGATCTTCGCTTTCAATTCATCCCAATCCCATAAATTTGTCGGTTTAACGTTCCACATATCATATTGGAGAATCTGGAAAAAAAAAATTATTATTCAACTGTGCTCCGGTATATTCTACAATTAAAATATAAATACTTACGCCTTTACTGACTGGGCTACCTTGATATGACTCGTAAGTACCCTTTTCCGCAGCTAATTCGCAACTAGCTTCTAAGGCGCCATAATAAAGCGTTTCGAAGATTTTAATGTTGAGTTCTTTCGCTTTTTTGCTCTCGAAGGGATATCGCATTAACAGGAACGCATCGGCTAGACCTTGTATTCCTATACCTAAAATACACACTTTTTCAATTTTATCGTGCTATCTTATATTAATTATGTGAAACTTGTAGAAATAATCTTACCAATAGGTCTGTGTCTACGATTAGATGTTTTCGTTTCTTTGATAGGATAAAAGTTAACATCGATGACTTTATCTAGATTACGAGTGACGATTTTCGCGACTGTTTTAAGTTTATCGAAATCGAAAGTTTTAGTGTCATTAACGAACATGTTGACAGCGATAGATGCTAAATTGCATACAGCGACTTCTCCAGGACCCGAGTATTCAATAATTTCAGTGCACAAGTTGCTGCATTTGACAGTGCCTATATGCTGATGATTCGATTTTCGGTTGCAATGATCTTTGTAAAGCATATAAGGTGTTCCAGTTTCTACTTGGGATCTGAGAATGGCGAGCCATACAGATCTAGCTTCCACTTGCTTTCTATAGCGACCTTCCTTTTCATATCTATAAATGTTACATGTTAGTGCATGAAAAATATAAATTATAATGTCAAATAATTGTAACTGAATAATTTATTAAAACAAAACTACTAATATATACCCAGTATACAATTCTTTAAATTCATCTCCCCAAACATCAGATAAGCCAGGAGATTCATGTGGACACATTAGGCTCCACATCTCGTCATTATATACACGTTCCATAAAAAGATCTGGTATCCATAGACCGTAAAATAAGTCTCTAGCTCGCATGTTTCCATCACCTGTTACAAATTGTATGATATATTTAAAACTACAATAAAATAAATCAATTAGCATTGTCAACTATAGAGTTAATTGGTATATAAATAAAGATTAATAAAAAAGAAATACCAATATTTCTCTTAAGTTCCAAAAAATCGAAAATATCGGCATGCCATGGTTCCAAATAAATAGCAAATGCTCCGGGTCTTTTATTACCGCCTTGATCAACATAAATGGCCATATCATTATACAACTTTAAAATGGAAACCAAACCATTGGTTCGTTTTGTACTAGTATCTTCCATGTTTTTGGCACGAATGCAATGTACATTAAGTCCTATTCCTCCAGCATATTTGCTAATGAGCGCACAGTTTTTTAGGGTGCCGAATACACTCTTTATACTATCGTCTTCGAGAGTTAGGAGGAAGCAGCTGCATGAAAATAATTCTTAGTAAACCAATGACATTTGATATTATTAGACTAATTGAACTTTTTTGACATTACCTGGACATCTGCTGATTATTAGTACAAGCATTAAATAGAGTTGGTGAAGCATGTGTAAAATATCGTTCAGACAAATAATTATATGTTTCTATGACTTTATCAATGTCATTTTCATGAATACCAACAGCTACTCTCATCAACATATGTTGAGGCCTCTCGACTATCTTACCATTGATTTTCAGCAGGTAACTTCTCTCAAGCGTTTTAAAACCAATATAATTATAATTGAAATCACGATCGTATATTATAGCAGAATCCAGTTTCTCTGCATTATTCTTAATAATATTGTAATAGTGTTTGCTGATTATTGGATTATGTTGATTTGTGACAGGATTCTTGGCATAATATAAATCATGCATGACTTCTGTAAGTATAGGAATAATAAACATTAGTTCTAATTTAAAATCTAGCATTAAGAATAATGAAGCATTTTGTGATATAGAAATTGATTTAAGTAAACACAAGATATACTATACCACTAAAACTTTTCTTGGTTTCCTTGTGTAGATTAGATACGTCAATTCTTGCAGCTAGTATAGCATAATCAGGATGTTTAGTTGCCATTGTAGCAGCAGTTTCAGCTGCCAGATTATCAAGTATAACTGTAGTTACTCCAGAATATAAACCACGTATCACTTGAATCGCTACAGCAGACTACAAAAAATAAATTTAAATATTATACAAATTGATATTGCTACATTAGTAATTTTTTATTTATGTAGCATTAATCTGTTTAACAAATACTTTATGGGTGTGTGTGTGTGTGTGTGTGTGTATGTATGTGTGTGTGTGTAATAAAGCTTCTTTTGAAGATATAGATTTCATTTTTTCCAATATCACATTATCATAAAATCATATAAGGAAAAAAAATATTTATGTATACACAAACAATTAAAGCTTGTTTTGAAGAAACTACATATATATTCTGTTTTCATTTTCGACATCATATTTCTGATTGCTTAAATCATATAAAAAAACAAAAATACTTACTGGATCTACATAATTCATATCCAAGTTATAACACTGTTTGACAATTCTGGAAGTAATTTTATCAAAATGAACATCCTCTTTACGGCCATCTAAAAAAAAGAGTAATATTAAATTTTAATCTCTCATTTTACCTCTAATGATTTTGTAATTATATAAATATATAACATTCATCATAATATCAATATAATAATTTTATTGCGAATTACTTTGCAATTTTATGAAGTTTCTTGGCGTCATAATAATATATTAATATTGTATAAAAAAAATAGCTCATTTGTGGAAAACAGTTACATATCAAATTCGAAGGAATGGTTAACCCATAACTTACTGCGTTTAATAACGTGCATCTTTCCTCGCGGGGATTCTTTAATTGATATCTTCAAGGGAGAACGATTATCATTTTCCACAGAAAGCTTCTGAAATGTCGTACTCAAATCCATATTAGCTGAAAACTGACAGATTAATGTATTCTACCAATAATTCACTGTACTCTGTAATCTGTATTCTAATGTTAATCTCTTCGTATGCCAACAATTTTAGGCGCGAAACGGAAGAACACATGTTTGACATGCGCATTGCGATTTGTCGATTTGAGCCAATAGAGAACGTGTTTCTGGAACTGTTCTTTTCAATCTCTAATCTGCACTTTAATTGGCTCGCGCGTATTATTCATTATTCGAGAGGGATATTTAAACGCGCTCATCATTTCTCATAGTATTCGTGTCTACTATGAAGTTCTTCTCTTGTGCTTCATTCTAGATTTTAAAATTTGTTTAATTTCTGTTATTTCTAATTTCTGATACTACTAATTAATTCATGTGTGTCCCTAACAGCACAGATCTCCAGGAGACATTTTAAGGACATCCCCAGGATGTTTCCTGGATAAAATATGCTAATAGGGGTCATATATAAGAGATTTAATTTCTGTTACTTTATTCTGTTACAATATTACTTTGAAAAATTCCCAGTAAACGAGAATGAATTGAAATGGGAATTCAGATTTTTAGAAATGTAGATTCACGAATGTTAAAATGAATGCTTTTCATCCTGAATGCATTTTTATTTATTTATAAGAATTGCATGGAACATATCTCTCTATTTGTCTTTCAATGTAAAAATAATATTTGCTTTTTCTGTACATTGTGAATACTGTTCAATTCAAAATTTTGAATAGGAAATGCAGTTTTTCAATCCAATTGAATCAAATTGAATCCAAAAAAAGTATTCGCTATTTAAAATACGCATTCGGATAGAAAAAAATTTCAATCCATTTTAATCCATTCTCGTTTGCTGAGTTGCAATATTTTACAATATTGTTGTAATGTTTCCAATAAATCATTAAAATTCTAATATTACAGCAATATTGCGACATGCATTAAAATAGTATTATTGCACACTGTATTGCTGCAATGTTGATATTTCATGCTATAAGGGTTGGAACTAAAAAAAAGTCACGGTATTCATTAGCTGATTGTTTGATCATTCCGATGTTGAAAACTAAAGAAATGGTAATAATACAGTATAACTAACTTTGTTAAAATCCGTATAATAAATCAAACTTACCAAGACTCTTTATAAATCAAAGAATTGGAAAAGATACGCCCAGTAAACGAGAATGGATTGAAATGAATTCAGATTTTCAGAAATATTGATTCACGAATGTTAAAATAAATGCTTTCAATCCTGAATGCATTTTTATTTATTTATAGGAATTGCATGGAACATATCTCTATGCCTTTCAATCTAAAAATAATATTAGCTTTTTCTGTACACAAAACACACATTACAAATACTGTTCAATTCAAAATTTTGAATAGGAAATGCAATTTTTCAATCCAATTGCATCCAATTCAATCTAATTGAATCCAATTATGAATCAAATTATATTCAATTGAATCAAATTATATTCAAAAAAAAATATTTGCTATTTAAAATACGCATTCGGATAGAGAAAAATTTCAATCCATTTTAATCCATTCTCGTTTGCTGGGCGGGCAATAGAAGTCAAGCGCAGATGCCGCGCAAATAATATATCTATGAAATGTGAAATTTCTTTCACTAAAACGTGCTTACATGTTTCGGTTCACTTTTGAGCCTTCCTCAAAGACAACATAAACTAAATATACAACTAATATATAAAAATTCCGACATTTAAATTCTCGATTTAGGGGAGTTCACCATGACAGGATAACTTTTATTCACAATTTTTATATATGTTAGTTTATGTTGCCTCTGAGAAAGGCTCAAAAGTGAGCCGAAATATGTTTATATATGGTTTAGTGAATAAAGAAGTTTCCCACTTCATAGGTATATTATTTGCGCGAAGTCTTCTGTGCTTGATTCCTACTGGCCGTATCCTTTCTAGTTTTCTGTTAAAATATTTCTAAGATTAATTTTACCTATATATAACAACATGCTTTCTTTAACTAGAAAGGGTAAACACACAAAAGTACACAAAATGTTTATATAAAGAATATGTCCGTATCAAAAAAGTAGCACAAACAAGAGTTATAAAACATTCGAGAATTTAAATCAATAAAAAAAAAACATACACATTTATATAGTTTAACAAATAGCACTTTAATCTTGTGAATATTTACACAAAAAATTGTCTCATTGCATCCGTATAGAAAGGCCAGATAATCACGTCATGAATAGATTCGATCAAGAGAAAAATATATATTGTTTAATGTCGACCGCGCGAATCGAGAGTTCGCAGAGCTACTATATATTTAACTGTCTTGTGTGCGTATCACGATCCGCTAAATAAATATTACATTTTATATTCTTACGTATTCACATACTCTTTGCTCGCACATGTTCTGTATTGCCGGACTCTATTTGATAGTATTAATATGAAGGAGCCTCCAAACAATATGGACAACATTCATCACATTAGCAAATATCATACACACATGACATATTTCTAATTATCTATATTGAATGTAGGCTAATATTTAGCGAATGTGTGAAAAGTTGACGTATATATAATTGGTCATATCGTTTGGGGCACCTTTATTCTTGTATGTACAAAAGTTTATAACTGGCAAGTTGAACATATTTAATTATATACATGCGAAACTATACAATCAAAAAATACCGAGAAAATATTGCTTTGAAATTAAATTCTTAGCACAAATCACAATAAAAAAATACATTCGAAAAAATATACGCACGATAAAAAAATCGATAATTCTCTCGTTTATTTTATTTAATTGTAAATTAAATTGTAAATAAAGCTACATTTGTTTGCGTCATTTTCTCTAACATGCTCTTACTATAGTTCTTGGTCACTCTAACGAGCGCGTTGTAGTGAGTAGACCTATGGTAGGAGCACGTTCGAGTATGCGACGTGAACAAATCCAGATAGCCAAATAAGGGCAATATGTTGCCATTTTGCTGTCACTTATTCCGCATTCAATCATCAAACTAAAATCAAGGTGTTTCCACAAATTGTCCTGATTCACATAAAGTCTTCTTTAGAATTCAGCAAATTGCTGACAAGTTGTCATCATGCGTGCCGTCAGTTTGCTGTCAACGTGACGAGTTTATTATTTCCCAATGTATACTCTTACAATTTCGTAAACTCATAAAATCTATTTGCTCTTCTGATGCTAATTCAGCATTACATTCCAATGACAGCAAATTGTCAACAAGTTGAAAAATGCAACAATACATGCATCAATTTGTTCCATATGCTAAATCTCGCTTGGCTATCTAAGAACCTGCTGCATGAAAGCCAGAAAGATGCGCATAAATTTCTCTCTTTTTTTTTAGTATAAATTAATGTTAAACTAGTCCGACATACACCTCGTTGTTCATCAATCTTTACACGCTAAAATTTAATATTTACAGTTTCATCGTAATACGTGCTCTAGGAATATCGCGAAAAGGAAAAGCATGAAGTCCGAAAGGAAAATGCTGAACTGATGACAAATCCGAATAGAACGCATACATGTTAAGCCATTACGATTATGATCTATCGTTCTTATTGTTAATTGTAAATTAATTGCCTTATCTAATGCAGCCTAGGCCGATTTACACCTTTGGTAAAAGACAACAAGACTCGTGATCACACGGCAGTTACGGTTGTGCTTAACAAATCCGAACTGCGCGAATTATTATAAATTAGTGAGTTATGAATATTTAAAATCAGCTTATACATGTCACGATAATTACTAGATTGACAATTTTATATAATAAACAATCAGTAGGAATAAAAACTATGTGTACAAAAAACGCTGTAAAAAACTTACTTCGAGCTCTTTTCGATTAAAATATTTATAATATGACTAGCGCACGTTTAGTAAGATCAAAGCTCATGTAATAGTAATTAATGACTTGAACGTAAATTCATTCATGTTAAGTACAAGCTCGGAAAAAGCTCGGTAGAAATCAATACACATTAATTAGTAAATTTATTGATTTTCTACGACGCATTTTTTTTGCGCGTTTCTAAAAATTTGTCTAAAAATACAGATGAACACAAAATCAACTTACAAAGTCGCCACGATTGTACAAACATCATACGATTCGCGCACTATGTACAAATACATCTCTCAAACTCCTAACAATCACTCTAGTGCCTGTTGAGAAGCTGCTATTCATTTTGCATAACCGCACAAAAATATCATTTTCACGTTTCTCAATTTGAGACATCCATTATTTATATATGTCACACTTGCTATGGCGAAAGAAAGAAAATTATCTAAATAAATAAATGAAGTTTAAATAAAAACGGGACGAGTATTCTCTTTGCGATACGTACATCAAAATACTATTTTAACACGATCCCTAGCATTTTACCTGGTATTCATGTTGCTAATACAAGATGTGCGAAATGTATCGACTTACACATTCGATGTTCTCTCCCTTTTCCTTATTACTAAAATATCCCGGCTTACAATACAGAGAAAATATCGCTTGGTCTCGCTTTGTACTTTAATAAGTGATAGACAATGTACACTTATATTGGTGTTTCTCTTGATAGGATTCTAGAAATTATTCGTCCCGGAGCTTCGAACGCCTTGAGACGACAGGCGCCACTGGTCCAAATCATCTTTGCATTGATGAGATCTATATGCAACGACATACGAGAAAGAGCGATACGATCCTTGCGTAAAAAGTTACGTCTAGCATTTAACCGCATTTCTAAGCCCTTAGATCAACAGAGACTCTTTCGTAAGTAAATATATAATTGTTTACGGTATTTTACAATCAATTACTTAAAAATAAATCGTAAACAATATGAATATTTTTTTTGTGGTAGAAGCCTTATGTTAAATATATATTTCTATGTAACAAAAAATTGCGAGCAATGATTATTAAATTTTTATTTATATACTTTTTTCCGCGATTGGTTCACTGTGCATCATTGAGATTCTGTATATGTGTAGTGTATTGCGGTCATGGCAGAATCAGTCAATCAATAAATTATACGTATGATTATGAGAAAAATATCGAACATATATTCGTTGCTGATTTAATTTTGACAAAAAATTGACTGCATATCATAAATAAATCATTTTCTATTTGTAAATGTTGATAAAATTATGACGAAATATTATATGCTAATTTGCTGAAGTCTGATTTTACGCTATATAGCGAGAAAATTTATGCTCACAAATTTTCCAACTTCGTTGTAAAAGTGCTGGCAACATATATGCTAATAATACTCATTTAAATCTCGTAGCAAGACTATTACATTAAAATAGCAAGTACGATTCATTGATACGATACGATTCATACGATTCAAAATAATCACAAGCTTAAACAGAACTTAAAAAGTCGTCAACACATGAATGCTAATAAAAATAAAGTAAGATTCTTCAGAAATGTAGCTTTCATTGACTTCCATTTCTGTAGGCTCATTATATCGTGGACGGCATTATACTAAACTGACGGTATTGTACTAAACTTGACATGTTGCAGCAGAAATAGGGGATAAATGTGTGCGAGGTTCTGCAAAATAAAATATTAGCAGGTAAATTTCTTTCTCAATTAATAAATACTGAATAAGCAGATAATAATGCCTTCTAATGAAATCATTGATATCTTACCTATATTTACAATGCGATTATTTAGAGTTCGCACACCTCATCTGTCGTTGCAACTTTCGATTATTTTGCCTTTTATGCACACTTTTATCACACTGTCTGTCAGTATCATAAATTAATTGCTAAGAATGTGAATGGCCACCACCATCATCACCACCCGTATCTTCAGCTCGACGTATATCAACTGAATCGTCTCGCTTGTTATCCGTATTACGACTGAAATATTCAATTTGTCCGTTATACATTGTTACATATGCACAATATAATTTATGTAAAGTCACAAAAGCGGCAAATACTAAATATACAAATATAAAATAATACTCACTCTGTATGAACGTCAATTTCGCTTTGTTCTTGGACACGAATTTGTTCTTGGACTGGAGATGATTTTGTTTTGGATTCTATTTTGGATTTTGTTTTAGATTCTGTGTTGTCTGTTTGACAATTATTGGCCCGTTTACTTTTCCTGATAATAACTTCCTCTTTACTATTCGATTCTTGTATCAAATATGTTTCCAATATTTCTACCATTGCTTTCAGGCAATTAACAAACAACTCAGCATTCTCATGTGTACAATTAGACTGTAAATATATTATTGTAAATATATTATACGTATTATTAATTACCTTAAAATTAATTAAGACTAGCTCTTCAAATCCGGTAATGATCTTTAATATTAAAACTAAATAACAAAAAAAAAAAACAAATTAAATTCTAGAATTAAATGCTAGAATTTAGAACTTACATTCGTATAAAGACCTGCGAATCTCCAAAGACCCCGAAATCCGCAAGTTTGCAAATAATGTTGCAAATGATGTTGATTTGAGTCTTCACAGGCAATCATGTTTTGAATAATCGTTTGTACCGCACTTAATATTACTTGATCTTGACAAGAAGATAATACACTGATGATTTTCGCATCAAGCAAGTTATATCTGCAAAGAGATATTCGGCAAGTTGTAAATATTTGAAAATAGACTAATTTCTTTTCTATCTAAGAAAACTTACACGACTGGGAAAACTTTCGGAAAAACTATAGTTGCTTCCGCTAAATACTCATAAAGAATTCGCGTTTCGTTTTCGCTAGTAGAATATTTTACTAGCGTGGCCAGCATAGTCAGCACCAAAGTCTGTGTTGAAAAATCTGTTAACACTTCCGGATCGAGCAAAACGTTATTTTCGTTGCTTAAACTCACTCTCGTACTCCGATCTCTCTGTAGCGAAAAAAAATATAAATACGTTAGTATTTTTAATTTCTCATTATGTTGACTCACGATAAGATTAAGAAGATATTATAGTCGCAAGACATATTTTCATGTTTCCCAACATGAATAGTTAAACACAACTGCATCTCAAACTGCATTTGAAAAAAGGGAAAAAAATATAAAAATTTTTACTAAAAATAACAACAAACAAAAGTACCTGTTGTTCTGTGTTGTCCGTTGACTTGTCGTCCTTTGCGCTCGGCACACTCAAAGATCGCTGCGATTTAAATAAAAGCCGGCCAGTCTTGTTAGTGACAAGTTGCATGGTGTTTTATATAATCCAGGCAGGCACAGGCAGGCGCGGGCACACACCAAGAGAGTAAACAGAGATGCACGAAGGAATAAAATGATGTTATATGCGCAACAAGTCTACTAATATTAACTGGGAATCGGATAAAGAAGTATAGCAGAACGATAGAAAAACCATCACGCGAAATCAATTTTCGTTCAATTCGTGCTTAAAAGCTGAGGTTTTGATTTTTTTCATGTGCGTCAAGAAACTCAAAAACAAAACATAATTGAAAAATTCTATATCAAGAAGATAAATAAAGTAGGATACTCAAAGTATATAAATTTTCAGATAGATAAATATGGATATAAATATATTTTACTGTAATTTTATAGATAACACACATACACACACACAAATTTTTAGGCAGTAGGTTTTTTGACGAACAGATATTTCTTAACAAAAGTGAAAGATTTTTATCAAACAATTCATAAAAATACAATAAGCGAAGCTACTAATAGTAATAGAAGCAATATAATTTATCGCGCAAATTACGCATATGAATATTTTATGAGAAAGATAGTTCATATTTTGTATGAATAAGCTTTGAATAATTTTACTTCGTGCGAGCATCGATTTTCTTAGGATCATGCAGTGCATTGTTTCAAAGTAACCTCATGCTCTCTGTATGCTCGAGAGTGATTTCTCTTTAACTTGCTAAGTAAGAAATTGTGTGTGCGAGAATGGTGCTACATTTTGAGAGAGATATATTCTACATAAACGATTTAAAAAAGTAAAATTTTCGGGGACGCAAAAAAGTTTGTATTCCTACAATATTTCCAACGAATTAACTACGCGCGTTGCTATAATTATCGCTGTAGCTTACAAAAGAGAAATTCTTGAACAACATACGCGCGCGATCATAAATAATTACATAATTTATACCTGTGCAGATTGTTTTTGTTGTTTTGCTTGAGTAAGTGCTGATTGATCCAATAAATCCCAAGTTTTCTGCCTTCTAGGATTAGAAGCTCCAGGCATTTCCTGGTAGGTATATAATAATCTCATCTATTATATTTTATGTATGCTACATTACAACAAATAGGAAAAAGATAGTCACCGTATTGCGCGATGGTAAAGTGTCAAGAACGTCTGAACTGCCTGATGAATCGTGTAAGCTTTTGTCGAGCGAATGTCGAATGTGACACCTGCTACGAACCTCTTCTGACACGGCCACTAGCGCTGCGGAATAAAATTTGAATAGATTTTTCTTTTAATCTTGATATAAATAGTTGAGCTCTCGATCTCTCAAATTAAACATACCAGTTAAGTAAGGGACACTTTCAGGCGTTACTTCAAACTTATCCCTTTTGGAAGGTTTAGCTATGATTGCCAGTAACATGGTCAATACTCTGACCGTCCTGGTGACTGTAGTTGGTGTAGGATGCCTATAGCCTTTCAAGAGATGACCAACTAGCGCGAAATGAAAGTTAGACTTAAAGGACAAGCCCACGGTGTAATCCAATAGTTTAAATTGAGATTCCAAAGGTTCACGCGTTGACATCATTACGTGTTCTAGTGTCTAGAAAGAATAGTGATAGTTTATTCTCTATTGTTCTGCACATCGAGATATTAAAAAATTAATCGAAATTCGAGAAGAAATTTCTGCAGACCTTCTCGTCGAAAGTGCCTTGCGAATCAAGTGTATGCAAATTTTGCTCTAGAAGGGCCAAACCGGATGCGTATAACGACGTTTCGTCTAACTCTAGAACGGATGTGGCAATCCAGAATAAATATCTATGTATTGGAGATTCCTTAACAGAAAACGATAAAACAGATTTGATATTGAATATCAAAAAAGAAGTTCCAAGACTCTAAACGGGAAAGAAACTTACAGGTCTCAAAAGAGGTTGCAATCGTGTTAAGCACATAACAATAGCCTCTATAAGATTAATATCGTTAAAACTTTCGAGCGCCTTCATCAATATCTTCAGTAATTGTTTCATATCTTGATCCGTTATACTTTTGCTGATACAACCAAAGACGATGAGAGCCCTCGGCTGCAAAGCTGGATTTAAGCAGAAAGCAAAGTTCTTCGCTAACGAAGTCCACGTTTTTAACCAATCGCATTTCGGAATATCTCGCATGCAAGCCTCTATAATCTCCAAAAGAGCGTCAGTTATGACTTCCAAATTGGGTAAATAAAGTCTCTCCTTGTCCTGCGTTCCGTGCGAGCTTCTTTGATCACTACTGAGCCACTTTTCATTCACGGGTTTATTGCTGGAGTTCGGATGTTTGTAAAAGGCTGTGCCAGCAGCAGATTTCACCTTGCTGATGCCGAACAATAGGTAAAACTTGGGCAATGAGAACTCGTCTAAGCTCATCCGTAATATCCTATGTGTATCTTCGGAAAAAGCAGGCGAACTGCATGTGCATAATGAATGAATAATGTTGATCACTAAACCATGAGTGGAAGCTCGCATAGTCAAACTACCAGAACATAAGAGCAACGTCACTGTATGAAAGAGATGTGGCAAATGTTTCCCTACATCCAGACAGTTATTAAAGGATAACATCAAAAGATATCTCGCTAGGATTGCTATGTCGCTCCACATTATATGCTGTTCTAACTGTGTCGTCGGCGACATGCACGTTTTGTCTACTATTCGACACACTTTATTAATCACTTTCTTGGCGACCAGTTCCACGTTACCGGACGCTAGAGCAACAGCAGTGTCAGCCATAATCTCGGCCATCGGCGAACCTAAGCCATATCGTGTGCTACGTTGAAGAAAAATATCGAGAACACCATCTATCAGTTCTGGCAACATGCCGATTGTGCTCCAGATCTTAGCCTGTATACTCGGATACATTTCAATTTCCTGAACGGTTAACGTAATCAAATCGTCCAAGATCTCTGTAACTTGTTTCTGCCGCTTGCTTTCGTCGTGGGGTTTGTAAAATCGCACGAGATTGCTGAGCCACGGCGTCATATATTCCAGGCATAAATGTTTCAGTTCAATGGTCGATTCTCTGAAGCCTTGTATGCATTCTTTGAGAAATTCGAGCGTGAGATGCGGATCGTTCGCTGCCAAAGTCTCACTCAAGTGCTTGATAAATATAGTGTTATTCGATGGTATGCAGATACCGGACGTCTCCAACAATTGACCCTCTATTTTCAAGCCAAACGTTGCTGTGAGCGCGCATAGGTGATTGTACGCGGCAGTCCGAAGATTAGGATCAGGACTACCGAGATTCAGTAAAGCCATGTTCAGTAGAGTACCGGGCACATCTTTAGGCCTGATTTTCGAATGAACGGACAAGGAGTTCGGATTCGATAGAGTCCAGCGACTTCTAATGTGAGCTATATTCTGAACGATGCTGTTGCAATCACTGTGAGCGAAAGTCAAAGGTCCTGCTTCGTTGGAAATGCTTAGCACAAATGAATTGTCATCCACTAAGCAAACTTCTTCTATTTCGGACGCGTAATAGACATCATTTAAGAGAATGGATTGCGATAATACTTTAGATCTATCTGTATGCGTTATCTGTAGTGTCGTTGGTCCGATCTTCACGGACACCTTCATTTCTTTATGAGATAGTTTCAAGACGCCAGTGAAGACTTTCAAGTCTTCATCCAGAGATAATGTTGCTCCAGGTAATTTTTGTTGTTCGACATCGATCACGTCGTTTAATTTTCCTTGGCCATCGATGAAAACAATTTTTCGATTACCTTTCAATGGTGCCAAGATACTATCATGATACTTTGTGTATTCACGTACCCAGTTATTACAATTATAAATGTATACCGCGTGAAGATTTTCATAAGCTGCCGCAGGTAGAACGTAAAACCATTTTTGCAAAAATTCTGTCCTAAACCGATTATCTGAACACGTGTGAGTAAGATCGACAACTACATCATATGGAGAATGATAAAAAGGTTTTAAAGTTAGAATGACGTGATATATCAGTAGATCGCCATTCGTTTCGCCAAGTCTGAAAAAAAAAAAACAAAGTTTAAATGATAAATTCTTCGCTATATCTTGACCGTTATTTTATATCTTATAATGATTTGCGCTTACTTGAATCGTCGTGAAATGTAGTAAAATACTGGATGGCCTTGTTTGCTGGTACCTGCTTGATAAAAAATATTCATGCTTTGGATACTTTTAAATTCTTCTCTCTCGTGCATATTATATTTCATCATGATTTCTTCAAAATTAGTGGACGACATGTCTTTATTCGCCCATCGTGACATGCGAACGTAAGTAGTAGAAAAAAGCGAACTAAAATTCAAACATGGAATCAATTATATTAGCCACCACGATGATGACGTAATCAAAGCAAGAATAACTTCAGAACTCACTGGGAATCCACCGGTTTATGCTCGGGTGGCCCAAGATACGCTAATAACGTAGCCATTTTGTCAAATGGTCTCCTTCCGACAGCTTTATGATCTCTACTACTACTAAGATAATCTCCAATTTTTTCTTGATGATTCCACAACAACCTGTGCAACGCCAATACATTGGCATCCGAAACGAATGACATAGGATGACTGGTTTGATCAATTGTTTCACAATCCGAAGCTATCTGTATGATAAATCGTCGACCAATCTCAAAATGCGTTCTTAAGAAATTGTTAAAAGGCAACATATGCTGCTCCTTGCTAAATTCTACATGATTTGCAATATTCTGCAATATCTTTGACATAAGCATTAGGCCTCGCTTAATTTCATGTGGTACTGGTTTATTTATGATACCAGACTCTTGGGGTGAGACAATTGCAGGATTAATGAAACGCAGAAATATCACCGTTCCTACGGCTACAATGTTACTTTGCGGAGATTGTGGAAATCTCTTGCATAATACTTGATACAGGCAATGACACATAGAGCGTAACTGCGGAGGAAACCTGAAAAGAAATTTTGAATTTGAGCGTTACTTTATCGTAAGTTGTAATAATAATTATACTTACGTATCTGCCGATGATACGATAGCATTGAACACTTTTTGTGTCAACATGATTAAGTTTTCACCGTTTTGTTCAATATTTTCGTTAGAATCAATCCTTGCACTATCTACTTCAAAATGAATTGTTGAGTTATCCAGTAAAGGTGTAATGAGAGGCTCGAGTAAGCCTTGCAAGTAGCTAGTGCCATAAATTTTAAAGCAGAAGGACATGATTTTACTTCCCAGAGTATTACCGCGAAAAAGAGTCTGTATACAATCAGTTAGCTCGACTTCTCGGTAGAGCATATTCCATAATAATGGTGATAACAAATGTTTTGCGTCAAACAGTGTCACGAAGACACGCGCCAATTCATCCATTTGATTCGTCGTCACTACATTAGCCAGTGCCATGGCGATAGGCAATTCGCCTTTATCACTGATCATTGTAACAAGTTGAACTAACTGTTCGTATCTGTCCGCTAGCACAGTTTCGGCAAGAGTATCAAATTCCGTGCCCTGCTGAAGAATTTTAGTCAACACTTCCATAAATGCGGCTCGTGTCTGCAGATCTGTATTGTAGCCCAAATCTAAGTAAGAAAAAAGTTAAAGTTTAATGATAAAATCATTAATTTGATAGATAGAATAACTGAAGAATTGTCTAAAAAAGTAAAATAGTAAATAAAATTAAAAGCAACAGACTTGTTTTTTAGGACTTAGACTTGTACAATCCATTCTTCCAGAAAACTTTTGAATTAAAACTATGTAAACTGATTTATTACGTACGTATGGAGTGCCTCAAGCCACTGTCTATATTAGCACTAAGAAGATTACTCATAGCTTGAATAGCAGTATTGCGCAAAATGGCTACTTTGTTAGTCGTTAAAGTAGGCCGAGGCACAACATCTTTGTCTTCTGCTGTTGATGATGGACCGTTACAGTAGTTCATTAATTTCATAAACAGCGTAAAATATTTCGAAAAAAGTTCAGATTTTGCTTCCATCAAATCAACACGATCAGAATCTTCAGGTTGTAGAGGCAATTCACGTAACAATGCTCCTACTGCTTCCATGCTAGCTTGATCCAAATCTCTATAAAAAGTTAAAGGTTAACAGATTTGATGGTCATAACTTTTTTTATTTTCAACATAGAAGTTAAATATATATGAAATAAAAATAAAATATTTACGTGGCATAAGTTAGGATATCGTTGGCAGTTGTTGAAGAATGAGGATGTGTACACATTACCCACTCAGTTAAATATTCAACTAGTTTGTTACGAAATTTCAACTCCTGTCTAAACGCAAGATCGTCCCGTCTCTTCATCATAGCTTCAACTAGCTGGCATAATTTGGTTTTAATTAAAATCGAGTGCACCGTCTTGTCCAAGTGCCTGACGTATCTAACGATTGCCAACATCATGCCTTCGATGCTAGTCACTCCAAGATATTCCGATGGTTGATCCGTCGTTGAATCCAAAATATTTTTCATTATAAATATAGTGTGCTCAATAAATTGTGTGTTTAAATCCGAAATCACTACATGACCATGTGGGTCGAAGAATTTCTCAACAAAATTTTTTATCTGATCAAATAATATTGGATATAGAGCAGGACTCATCTCGTGTGCGACCAACTCCTTTACGTGTTTCTGTATTTGATTACCAAGTTTCTCATTGTTGCAAATTAATAATCGTAATAAGTTAAATACGAATTGTGTCACTGGACAACATTGTGCTTCTTGATTAGAATTTGATGAAGAAACAGAATCCTGTTGTTTTATCAAACTCTTTTTATGCTCCGAATTAAAAGGGAATACACCACATGGTGGTTTATTAGGTGAACGACGTTGTAGACATACTCCACCCAAAGCGCAAAGAAACCCTGTCATGTTAGCCCACTCGTTAATTTGGTCTTCCATTTCGTGTTCTGAATTTTGGTGCGCCGCTCTCCGTTTTACATTGCCGCGACAAAACGGCTCTACCTGTACATCTTCAGTTTTGCTTTTAGGATAATTGGACAACTGCCGTGAAGTCGCTTCCCAATTTCTAAATGTTTCTTCCCAAGCCTAAAAATATGAACATAAAATCTGTCAATTAAGGAAAAAACTATGTTTGATGTTTGTGTTAAATATACAATTTATATTATGTTGTTTTACATGTATATGTAGAGATAGATTTCATATTACACATAAATATGAAAAATATTATATATATATA